CTATAAACCTAGATGTCTTAATCGATTATGAGAGCCCCTTTCGGGAACCCTAAGCCCAACTCGGGATCTACTCAGACATAGCTGAGGCACTACAAGAAAACAGTTAATTAACGACTACGGTTTGCGACTGATAATGTAGTCACTAAATTTTGTGACTACGTAATGACTGATTAACGATGACCCTACGACTGCGGAAAATCAGTCGCCAAAATGTCGCTAAATAGTGATTGCGAATGTCGTCACTTCTTAGTCGCTATCTAACGACGGATTAGCGACTAATATGTAGTCACGATTAATCACTCGCTAAAACGTCGATAAAGTTGCGACTAATTTGCGACATATGCGGCGAGTCGGTATTATTTAACACGTGTAATACGTTTTAGGGTGGTTGTACTGGTTTTTCGCGACGAACCGTTGGCAGTCGCAATATAGTGACAAAACAGTCGCATATTAGTCGCAAAATTTTCTATATATTGAGATCCCATCTACCTTCTACTTCATTAGTATGCTTGCTATCATTTTGGTAGTTACTTTATAAAATTCCTTTAGCTGTAAGAAATATTTCTTACAAAAAAGGTGAAAAAAGAGTTAAGAAAAAAAAAACTCTTATAATAGAAAGAGAGTTATAATTTTAATTTCCAAAATGTCTGGAAATTATAATTATAATAATTTTAGAGCTTGGATGTATAACCGAATCGATGAAAAGACGGGTAATTTTTCGGATGCGTTTATAGAAGGAGTGGAGCAATTCATGAATTTTGCAAATAATCAGACTATAACACAAAACAATTGTGGTAAATTTTTCTGCCCTTGTAGTGTATGCAAAACGACAAGTTTTTGTTGGGGAGTAAGATTTGGAATCATCTATACAGTAAAGGGTTCATGCCAGATTATTATGTTTGGTATAAGCATGGGAAAGAAATAACTATGGATTATGGAACTAGTTATAATAACAGTCATCTAAGTGGGAGTGAAGAAAAAATGGATAATATAGCTGAAGATAGATATGTGGATATAGTGAATGATGCATTTTGTGATAATTTTCGTCAAGATGATAGCTATTGTCTAGATGAGAGTAATGAAAATGTAGAAGAACCTGTACGTAACCATCCCAAAAAGTTTTACGACTTGTTAGAACCTGTACGTAACCATTTGATGTTGAAGATGCAGAACCAGCTGATGAATTTCAGTGTAACTTATCATCCTCAGATGATGATGAAGATGAAGATGAACCTTACTAATTATTTTGTTTAAACTAGTTGATAATATGATGAAGATTAAGATGAACATTACCAATTTCATTTTTTTAAAAATTGTTTAAATCATTTGATATTAGTTGATATTATCAATTTAACTAAATCAAAATTAAACCAGATTAAGATTAATCTTAAAACCAAATTAAACCCTAAAACTAAACCATATCAAACCAGATTAAAATTTGGTTAACCCATAAAACCTAATTAAACCATACTTAACCAAAATTAACTCACTAACCCTAAATTAACCCGAAGCCCACTAACTAAATCCTAAGCCCACTAACTAAAATTAACCCACTAACCCTAAATTAACCCGAAGCCCACTAACTAAATCCTAAGCCCACTAACACTTAACAAAATTTCTTCTTCCCTCTAGTCGATCTAAACGACTAAACCCTAATTCCTTTTTCTCTTCTCTCGATCATTCCGCCTCTTCTCTCACACCGATTCTCTCTTCTCAACCTGTTTTTCGATTCTAAGTTCTAACCCACACCGATTCTCTCTTATCTTCACTCTTTCTCTCTTCTCCACCGATCTGAAACCCACAAACCGATGGTTACTCGTCGTTCGAAGAAAGGAAGAGGAGGTGGAAAGGCATCGACTGCAAAGACGCCTCTCCCAAGTCGATACGCCTTCACTCCGTCGCCGTCTAACCAGTCTCCACCACCGCTTCAGCCGGAGAGGGCACCGTCGATCTCGGTGACCATCAGAGAATCCTGAACGCTTTTCTTACACAACCAGGAAGGGAAGCTTTCACCACAGTCCTATCTCCTTTACCGAAGCCTAATACAACATGGTAATGCTTTCATTTTCAGCTTGTATTGCTTAGTTTAGTTGTTTAGGTTTGAACTTGATTGGGTGTGGAACTCGGATTAGGTTTCAACATGGTATGCGACTTCATTGCTTAGTTTACAAATTTAGGTTTGGAACTTGATTTTAGGTGTTGTATGCGAATTCGTTGCTTAGATTAGGTAACAATTATGTATGTTTTGATAACTGGTAACTTGTTTGTATCTGAATTTGTAGGTTTGGTCGGGACAAATCTAAACTTACCCGAAAGATCACCAAGATCTTTACAAACAAGTTCGACGGTCCCTTTTACAGCTGGACCTGTGTGCCTCGAGAGAGACAAGAACGGTACTTCATTGAATTTGCGGTAAGTATTTCATTCTTATTCTCATTTGTTTCTTTGATGATTTTCAGTCATTTTAGGCATTTGAAGCAGTTGTTTGTTTGAGTCGTTTGAGTTATTTATAGCAACTGTTTGTTTGCTTCATTTAAAGTTATTGAGGCATTTCATTCTTTGAGTTAGTTGAGGCATTAGATTAGATGTTTCTTAGTTTAGGTTCGCTTAAAAGATCTTCTACTCATTTGATTCATTTGAGGCATTTTAGGCATTTGTGGCATAAGACTTCATCGTTTCTTCTCCTTTGATTAATTTGACTTGTTTTTTTCACTCGCTAATACCATTTTCTATGTTTCTAATGTAGAAAACACACACCTGGGATCCATTAGTAACCGGTGTTGTCCAAGAAAAGTTTGAGAGCATTTGTCTCAATCGGATGAAGGATATGGTGAGCAAGGCAAGGACTACTCGGGAGCAGCCCAACTGGATTGGCGACACTCTCTGGAAACAAATGAATGAATACTGGAACACTGAAGAAGCCAAGGAAAAGAGTGCCACTACATCAGCTGCAAGGATGTCTGAACGTGATGGTCTTGGACCTCATGTCCACTTCTCAGGCCAGAAGTCGTACATACAAATCCAACAAGAGATGGTTAGTTCTCTTCCCTTTTCATTCATCACTTATGTCTATACATCTTTAAACTCTTTTGTTTGACTTTTTTTTTCATTGCAGGAAGAAGAACTTGGAAGGCCGGTGAGTCTTGGTGAAGTTTTCATCAAGACTCATACAAAATCGGATGGCACTTTTGTAGACCGAAAGTCCAAGACGGTGGCTGAAGCGTAAAGAAGAAACTGGAAGAAAAGATGGCTGATCTTGGGGTAGACTCCGAGACTTCAGATGGTACATCACCGCCTGTGGTGCTGTCCGTAGAAGAGGAAAATGAACTCTTTCTTCAGGTAAATACTTTTTTTACATTGTCTTTTATGATATGCTTTTATTCTTTGGATTTTGACAGTTCTGTTATTCTAATACTGTTTTGCAGGCGACTTTCACAAATGAAAGAGGCATTCCTTATGGAATTGGAAGCCTCTCACAAACGACTGGAAAAAGGAAGTACCCAGGAACCTCGGCAACATACAAGGGTCTCGAGGAGCAGCTTCAAGAAGCTCAACGCCTAATAGAAGAACAAGCAGATCAGAACTCAAGGCGTGAGGCAGAGCTTCTCAAAGTTTCTGCTGAGCAACAAGCCAGAATCGACAAGTTAGCTCTGGTGGAAAGGTACTTGACTCATACTGATCCAGGGTTCTTAGATTTTGTGGCTGCAAATCAAGTTTCAAGTAATCCAATGCCTTCACCTAATCACTCTACAACTCCGTAGGTTCTGGTTGGCCTCTGTTTTTCTTTGCTCCTTTATTCTCTTTAAGAACTTATCACAATGATATGCTATGTATTATTTGGGTATTTTGATCACAATGTTTTGGAACAATGTCTATTTTGGTATTTTGGAACAATGCCTATGTTTAATGTAATATATATTTGCTTTTACAAGTTCTTCTAATTATTTGATTTCGAGTTTAGCTTTTTGGTGTAATGAACAAATTTGATCAAATGAAAATAGGAAATATAATGGATTACCAAACCTGAATCCGTTTGATCAAATGAAAGTATGAAGGTTCTCTCTAAAAACGACCTAAATGACAAGTATTTATAGTCTTCAATACTCCATGGTCTCTAGGATTCCAGAATTGAGGCTGAGAATGACTTTGGTCTTCAGAAATATGGGCTTTTAATCGGAGTTGGCCGGCCGCGGTCGGGAATAACGTGACCGCGGGAGATAGGTGGTTAGCCGCGGTCGAGAAGCTTGTGACCGCGGGGAATGGGCTGGTGGCCGCGGTCGCGTGACTTGCTGGCCGTCTTTGAGTGGCTCCGGGCTAATGGAATATCTTGAGATTCAACCGTTGGAATGTCTCCAAACCAAGTCCATTTGAAAGCTGGTTGATTCTTCTATAAGTTGTCCAATTTTGAGGGTGATCAGACGGTGAGAAGGTCTTTTTCTCTCGATGAGAGTTCTGACGGTCTGCATTTATCCAAAAGAGTCTTTTTGTTCTAATTTGTGCCTCTTTATCCCAAATTACCTGAAAAGTCTTTTAAAATCCGGAAACATAGAAATCCTTTGAAAACCTTTGAAAATGGAGTAAAAACACATGTAAAAGATATTAAAGTGATCTATAAAAATGGTTAAAATCTGGTGTTATCAGAACATTGCCACGGTAACGTTGTGGCAAACTTGCATTTAGTTTGGGATTTGGCATGGCTGTTTACCACGGCAGAACCAAGGAGTGGCAACAAGTGTTTAAGGAAGCAAGATCATTCGGTTTTAGCCACGGCTTCATTGCCACGACTAGTTGTGTAGGCATGGCAATTTCCTAACTACACAAGAAGACTGCCCTGTAGTGCCACGGTTCACTTGCCATGGGAGATCACAAGGCGTGACAAACCCATTGTTCTTGAACACAATCCCAGAAATTATGCCATGGAAAACTTTGTTCTTAAAGTTTGCAACCATTTTCCTTTGACATAGTCTGAATATCACGGCCTGACCTCTTGAACCTCAGGCATGGCAAACTCCTCCAAACCTACCAAGGCTGGGTCAGGACCCATTTTGTCCTGGGCTGACCCGGTCCATTAGCACTTAGTATAAATACTTTTTTGGGAGACAACCCTAGGAGAATCTTATCTTCTATCTTGTTTTCTCTTTGTTTCTCCTTCCTTTTTAGTGTAAAACGACCTTGATAAGAGATATCTTCCAGATTGAATCATCTAAAATGTGTTTCTTATCATTACATCATCTCATCTTTGCTTCTAATCATGATTAACATCACCTCTTGCAAAAGAAATGGTGTGTTCATCATGATTAGTGAGTAGTCATCTTTTAAGCTTCTAGGTGTGTAGATTAGGGTGCTTAGATGCTTGATTTATGATGTGTAGGTTCTAGACTCTGATTTCCTTTCCTTAGTTAGCTGCTCTTAATGCTAGATCTTTGCACATCACTCTGATCTAAACCTTAGGCATTTCTCCACCCACAAGGTGTTAATGAAATGCCTGAAAGAGCTAAGCTAAGGGTTTATGCCTTTTTCATCATGAGAGTGATAGTTAAATGCATAAATGACATATTAGAACTGTTTCTTAATGCTCATTGATTCATATTTCACAAATGAGAATTTGGTTTAAAATGGATTAGTGTAGAGGTTAATGCCTTCATGAGAGGATTAATCTAGATTGGAGTTCTAAGTTAATTGTTTTTGAGATCATGTGATTACTTGTTGCATCTTTCTGTGTAAGATTCAGTGTTCTCTTAAGTAGAAACTGTCTGGTCATCATTAGACTTGAAACTTTATGCTTGTTGATTGCTTAATCTTGCCTAAGGTGAATTAATCTTGATTAAGTGATTTGCAAAGGGATTATTGTCATGGGAATGAATTAATCTGCTTTTGAAGTCTAGATGAAAGAGTAGCAAGTGTTGCATTATGTTCTTAGCATCATGAATCAACATTGAAAGCACCATAATCAATGATCACATCTAGAGGTTTAGTTTTCATCATCTTTATTATCATCATCATCTTGTTTGTTTAGCTTGCTTTGTTTACTTATTTATCATTGCTTGTTTGTTTCTTGTTTATGTTTACTTTGTTACTTGTCACAAAAACCTTTCTTGTTTAAATTGAATTAAGAACTTATCTTATAAACTAGGGCCTAACTACCACATATATGGATTTGACACCCTTTATGCTACAACAGAAAAGGGATTGATAACCCTCTAAGAACCTAAAAAATTCTTAGCATCAGTATGGGAAGTGATGGCATACATTCACAACATGATATGCATGATACTAATGTATATAACTCGACGAATCATGGGGAATTTATTTTTGTTACAGTTACATAAGGAGCATGGATAAATTTATTTAATGGGTTTTCATTAAAAAAAAAATAATAAAAAATAGACAGGAAAAACATGATAATATTTTAAATAATGATAATCAGATTTTCATATCGATATTTTTTTGAGGAAAGACCTAATGGTATGAATCAACTTTCAAGTTTCAACCTCCAACTCAGTGGGGCCAATAAAGATTATTGAAACACCAACTTTCAAATACTTTTATTTTTAGTCATAAAAATAGACAGAAAAAAGCATTGAAATTAATATTTTAAATAATAATAATCGGATTTTCGTACTGATATTGTATGGAGGAAAGACCTAATGATATGAATCTTTGATTCTTTCAACCTCTAACTCAGTGGGGCCAATGAAGATTGTTTAAACACCAACTTTAAAACACCTCTATTTTTATGCAACTATAATTTGTGCTTGATATATTAAGTTCATCCTTACTTAACTATAGAAATTCATTGCTTTATTCACATATTACACGAGTCACAAAGAGTAGATAAATTCCTTTTACAATTGAATAATGATTAATTTGTGTGGAATTATGGATTAGATTTTCAAAAGAAAAAAAAATGAATTTAGCCATAAAAAAAATTGATCTGGATGTTTTAAACAGCGATAATCGACTTCAAATTCAAATTCGAATATGGTGTAAAACTGAATTAATAACAAGATCACTCAGATTATCTATGGACGAATATTAACTTTTAGATTTTTTTTTTCTTCGATGATAGATCCAATCAATTTTTGGTTTAGTATAAAACAATAAAAAAAATCAATAACTTTTTTGTAATAGCTTTATAAAAAAATATTAACTTCTGAATTATAAGTTTTTGTAGCCCTCACACAGTGCGGGCCTGTTAGCTAGTTTATTTATAATTATCGAGCTGATGGGGTTATGCATATGGTAAAATTAATAAAGGAAGTGCTAAGCTAAATGAACGTTAAAAAATATCATCTTTAGTTGATCTTGATTAAAATTAGTCATTAAATTGCATTCGGTTAAAGAAAACAAAAGAAGTATAAAAGGAGGAGGAAAAATAAACTGAAATTTAAAGAAGATATGTTGAAAAAGACAAACTAAAAGTCGAATAAAACCCTGGAGAAGAAAACCAGAAGAAAAAGAAGACAAAAATGAAAGATGGAAAACAAGTGAAAGAAGAAGAAAACCAGAAGATGAAAGAAAAGGGTAAAGAATAAGACAATGAAATATCTATCAGAAGAAGAAGAAGCAGAAGTCAAAGAAGATGAAGAAGAAGAAGGACAAAATATGAAGGAGAAAAAAAATCTAAAGATCAATAAAAAGAAGAAGAGAAAGACAAATTTGATGAAGATGAGGAAGAAAGAAAAGACAAAGAACAGAAAAATAAAAATTAGAAGATGGATAAGAATTAGAATAAGGAAAACACGAGGAAGAAAAAATATCTAAAAGTTGAATAAGAGGAAGATGAGGAAGACGAAGTCAATGAAGAAGCAGAATGAAGCATTCTAAATAAAAGAAATACAATAATAAGAATAAGAAAAATTTGGACAAAATGAAGATGTTGAAGAATAAATAGGGGAAGAGGATGATGAATTTGTGGAAGAAAAACTACATAGAATATTTGAGAAGAAGTCCAGTAGCAATCTTATGGTGTTGGTCTCAACTTACAAAATTATTAGATATTATCACTAAAGACCTTAGAAGGTAATCAACTTGAAAGTGAAAACAACATTAAAAAGCTTATATCGAGAAGATAAATTGTGGAAAAGACTTTTTTATAATAAATAATGATACTTAAAGTCTGCACAATAACAACATGTTTAGAGAGATAGGAGACATATATATGTCGATCTTGATGTTGTATGTGTTGCCTTAACGGTTATGACTTATACTTGCTACAGACATTTGTATAATGAAGAAATTTTTATCCTAAGATGATTGTAAATTTTGTTTCAATTAGACATTGTGATTTTGCTTCAGATTTCATACTATATATCCTCGAGGATTCATGTTAGAAAATGAGATAATATGTGTTCACATTATCTATGTGATTCTACTCTGCAAGAATCTTTCAAACTGATTGATTTTGTAAAGATAGTCAAGCTCATAAAAACGTTAAAATATATGTCTAACAACTTCCAAGCTACAAATGAATAAATAAAAAAAGAAAAAAAAAGGAAGAGAAACAATTGAAATACAAAAAAAAAGGAGAGAAGAACACAAAGAAGAAGTAGAAGATGTGGAAGAATGAGAAGATTACGTATACAAAGACTATAAATAAAAACAAAAAATGAAGAGAATCAGATGAAGAAAACAATGAGGATCGGAAGAAAAAAATGAAAAAAAAAACTGATGAGAAAAATAAGAAGTCAAAGAAGACTAAGACAGTAAAGAAGAAGAAGTAGGAGTTGAAAACAATGGAGGATAAAAACGAAAAGACGAAAATATGAGAAAAACTAAAAGATAAAGAAGAGGGAGAAGAAAAGACAAACTCAACGAAGAAAATGATGAAAAGAACAATTGTTGACAAAGACGGTGAACAAAAAAGAAGAAATGACGAATTTGGAGATGAAAATAATAAGAAAAGAAGTCTGAGGAGAAAATCTGTACATAATAGACGAAGAAGTGGATGGAGGAAAATACGTTAAAGAAAAAAGAAGAAGACCAGACAATGAAGAAGACCAAGTAGAAGTTGAAAAAAATGAAAGAGACGGAAAAACAGATGAATAAGAAATTAGAGAAGATGAAGCCGATAAAGGAAACTCAAAAATACGAGGAAAAATATTAAGAAATGGAAAATATAAACCATAAGAGGACTAATAATATAGATAAGATGAACATGTTTTACATATGATGAATTATTTGGAGAAAAGAAGAATAATCAGAAGAAGAGGAATAAGAAGTCAGAAAAGCAGGAAAAAAAAAGCATATGATAGAAGATGAAATGGAATAATGGAGAAATATGGAAGAGAAAAATTAAATGAAGACTTTAAAGGAGGAGAAGATGTAAAATTGGAGAAGAGGAAGAATAACATAAATTAGAAAAACGTGAAGATAAAGAAAAATACGAAGAAAACACAGAAAAACAGAAAGTTGAAGAGAACAAAGAAGATGAAGGCAATGAAGAAAGAAAAGAAAGAAGTAGAATAAAGAGAATAAGAAAACTCAGAAGAAGAAGTAGAAGTAGAAGTCAAAGACGTTGATGAAGATGAAAGAATAAAATGAAGAATAAAAAATTGAAAGATGTATAAGAGGAAAAAAAATAAAAGTTGAAAACGATACTGAAGAAGTAAAAGATAAAGGGAAAGAAGAAGGCGTGAAAAATAAAAAACCTGAAGAATAAGAAGGAGAAGAAGACAAAGATAATGTAGAAGGAGAAGGAAAAAGAAAAACTAGAAGACGATGATGAAGATGAAGAATAGCCGGGATAAGAAATAAAAAAGACAATGTTTATTTTTTTTGGGGCACATTTATCTCGATTTAGTATGTTTTATTCTAATTTTCTTTGTTTGTAATATAAAATTTTGTTTTGCGTTTTTAAAACTCTTAGGCCCGCGCAAGGCGCAGATTAAACACCTAGTTAAAATAAATTGTTCAAAAAAAGTTCTGCTGACAATATGTGAATAGCTGAGATGTCTTTTTCTGAACAAGAAAATATTTTATTTGAATAAAGTGAATATGATGTTTTTATAGAGCACGGAGATTGGTTACAATTTTAAATAAAGAAATCTTATTATAAAAGTTGGAGCTTTCAATGTGAGCATAGCACATAACCAAAATCATGACTCATGAGATTGTGACATATGTTTTTTCTTAATTTAGATTATGACATGTATTAATGCAATGATATAAACTTCTTATTCTTAATTATTTACTTTAGAAAAAAAAAACTAAATTGTGTATTTTAATAAATGGAGATTACTAAATAAATAAAAGAAATGAAAAAAAACAGAAACTACCATTTAATAAAATTATGTCTTTGAAACGTTATCATTTATTTAAAATGATTTAAATAATATGTATCAATTTATACTGTCATTATTCTGAATCATAAAACATAAATTAAATAACCTTGTATGATCTTAAATTTAAATTTAATTATACAGATCATAATTGCAATTTAATTTTAAAATTTAAGTAATTTTTTATATTATTGCATATTATGCGGACCTAATTTTTATATTTCTTCTGCATACGGCAATGAGATACTAGATTATATGTATGGGATGGATTTATCAAACAATGAATTAAGTGGTGTTATCCCCATAGAGCTTGGAGATCTTTCAAAACTACGAGCTTTGAATCTATCTCATAATTTTATGTCGAGTTCTATAGCATCCAAACTTCTCCAATCTGAAGGATATTGAAAGCCTTGATCTGTCTTACAATATTTTACATGGAAGCATTCCTCACAAGCTAACCAGCTTTACTTCACTTGCTGTGTTCGATGTGTCTTACAAAAATTTATCCGGAATCATTCCCCAAGGATGGCAATTTAACACTTTCAACGAGCACAACTACTTAGGCAATCTTTTTCTTTGTGGACCACCAACCCACACAAGTTGTGAAGCTAGGAATACCTCAGATAATGAAGGCAAAGAAGAGGAAGAAGCTGCTATTAACATGTTGGTTTTCTATATTAGTATTGCTTCAACTTATGTGACAGCTTTGACAGGTATTTTCGTACTTATGTGTGTTGATAGTCTTTGGCGTCAAACATGGCTTTGCATTGTTGATGCTTTCATTGCCTCAACGAACAATAAGTTGTCTTGATTTCATTTCAGTTCAGTTCTGGGATATTGCTGTTACAAGTATTGCAATATCGAGAACTAAAAATGATGATATTTTGTGAATAAAGTGTTCCACTGGTTTGACATTCTGGTTTGAACAGTTGTGAGATTATAAAAGTGGTGTAAACTTACTAAACCAAAAAATTGAGTGAAGCACCTTATAAGTTTAGTTTTACATATTGGTGTATTTCTTTCAGGAAAATTGTCCCATATGACACTTTTTGTGTTTAATTTTAAAAATGTCATCCTTAGGTGTTTTATTACACCTTATGGCACACTGTATATGGAAAAGACGAATAAGACCCTTGCTTCAATTAAAACATAATAACTTAATTAAAAATCTCTATGTTAGTGGACCTGACAACAAAATCCAAACTGATGCAGATACAGTTGAATTAGAGTAATAAATAAAACTAATAATAAAGCTTAGAGAACCATTTAATGAGTCATGATATGCGTGTGCTATGCATTAATGAAAGTTAATAGCAATTCTCACTAAAGAGAAAACGAATGACTGAGATTTATCCAAGTTTTATGTATGTACTAAGCAAATAGTAAAAGGCAAAAATAAACCTAGAAATTAGTAAATATGAATGGATATACGATTGAAGTGTACAAGACTAAAGTGTACACAACGGAAGTGTACATGTACATGATTTATATATACCGACTGAAATGTACACAACTGAAGTGTACAGATTAAAGTGTATACGACTGAAGTGTTTATGACTGAAGTGTACGACTTAAATGTACAAGATTAAAGTGTACCCGACTGAAGTATATAAGACTGAAAAATAAGAAATTACATTATCGTGTACACGACTGAAGTGTACATGACTAAAATACATTATCAAATTTCATTCTGTCATTTTTAAAAATTTAAAATTTAACAAAAAATCTATATACTTTTCAGATATATTATTAATTTTTTATTATTTAGAATAATAAATGATTTAAAGTAAAATAAAAAATTAAAGAAAAGAAGAAAGAGAAAATAATATTATTTTTAAAAAGGAGTTTTTGTCGACCAAATTCATTATAAGCCCAAAATGGGCCGAGTTACAAATGGTATTCGAAGTCCATCACCCATACAATTGTTAAAGCTCAATCGCTACCCACAAACAGAAGATAACGATAGATCTAAAGTAAACATGTGTCCCAACGTGGACATCTTCAATATCACCACATGTGCTCTTTTACATTGTCGGAGATGAGCAGCGCTTCACCGGAACCTCCTTCTGATAAGTTTTGAGCAGGTTGAAGCTGATTAAATCAAACTAATTTCACTCAGTTCTTGCCCACAATCTTCGAAAACCATTTGATTACTCTTTCTTTGGAGATAAATACCTTCCATGGAAAACCAATAAAATCCCAGATGATAGAAAATCTTCTAACCGCCAAAAAATAACCTCTGATTGTCTCTAGCTCGAGACCCAGCACCCTCCGCCTTGACTAAAGCTTTTCAATAGGGTATTTAGGGAGAAATTTCTCCCAGTCAAGAGAAGACAATACCAAATTTCAGGACGATATTCACCATCATCACCGCCTCACACAAGAGGAGTAAAGCTGTAGAAGAAGACAACTCCAAACAATCCGGTCAAGCCGGAATTTTATTATCTGATCAAAGTCGGAAACGCAGAAACCGATATAAAAAAAACTTCGATCAAATGATCGAAAGTATGAGAGAAAAAATTTCCTCTCTCTGTGAAAGATGTGAAAGAGAGAATGGAGAAGAAAGCAAAAAACTCTCAATCACGTCTTCAATCGCCCTAAGGAGAGAGAAGGGAGCGAAACATAAATTTTAATTTTGGTCAATATGAAAATATAACCGCTCTCTCTCATACAAAAATAACTTTTGAAAGATGTGGGTCAGAACTTTTCCAAAAGCAGAACACCGATATATAAGAGCATCTCTATCAGCAGAACATCGTGAGGGGTTCTTGGCCCGTTAATATAAGCAAACGGAATTAAAAAAGATCAAAAAGGCCTAAAAGCTAAGAACCAACTCTTAGCTAAGAATCCGAAGAGGGGAGTTCATAAGCGACGTATTCGATTCTGATTGGGTATGGTTTATAATTTTTTTTAATCAAAACTCTAATCTCTCTCCTTCCTCGACATTTCTTCGTGATTGAACCAAAAAAAAAATTCTTCTCTTTTTCTCTGGCGATTGACTCTTCTTTCGTGATTAATCAAATAATTGTTCAACATTTTTTTTTAGAAAAAGAATTATTATTTTATTTCTAAGAACCCTTAAACGGAGTTCACTTATGGACGCTCAAAATAACAGCAAATTCTTCATTATTCCAAAATAAAAAAAAAATACTTAAATAATAATAATACCACATGGAGGGTTCACTGCTGAATGATGGTCTAAGGTATATGTCACAAATAGTACGGTATCATAGGATAGAATAAAACACTTTTGGGTAATAATTCGGGAATTAAACACTTATTTGAAGCAATTACTTCTTTTTTTGTGTGCTCACATCGAAATTTCTGCTAAACATAGAGTATGTCCATCAGGGGTTTAGATAAGGTTCATGGCCCAATTTCATAGATCAAAACTATTAAAAAAAAAAGAAAAAAAAACTCATTTTCGACGAACCTATTCTTTCCGAAGAGCCTGATTCTTCACCACGTGAAAGTATATAATTGGTCGAAAATTGTGTTTTAATTTCTTCATTTTTCTTAAATCTAAAAACATAATATTAAATTCTTATGAACACTGTCATTAAATTCTTAGAGGTTCAGGTCTTAGATACTTTCTCTGGACAGTTCACAATGAAAGGCTACTGTGACAGCTTCTCTCAAAATATAGGAGAGAGATAATTGGCAACTCAAAAACTAATAAATCAAGGATTAAAAGTCGAAAGGAAAAATACAGATAAAAAGGTTAAGGCTACACAACACTTGTTTGAGACTTAAAAAGAGTCCTGAAGGTAGTACACAAGCACACAATCAAACTAGTTTATTCCAATAACAGACATAAGGAAGCGAAGTCTAACACTAGCATTTGCAATTTCATGACTATCCTGGTTCATCAACCTTGACTGAGGAGGCTCGACCACTCCGGTGAATACATAAAGAGCCTTCAACTTGATGCGATCCTCCCAAGGAATCGGCACTCTAAGGTGGTTTAATGGATAATCCTTGACTCCAAAGACTTTCACGGAGAAGATGCTAAGGCGTGAGAGTAAATCCCGAAAATCCTTAGGCCCAAACTCGCGGTGAAAAGGAATGAAACAAGGGGGTGGAACAAAGAAAGAGAAAAACGCCGGTAAAAGGATGTTAAGGCGTGAGAAATGAATTCCCGAAAATCCCTAAGCCCCAATTACTACTAACGGAATTCCCAAACTCTGCAAACGAAGGCTGCGTCAAGTTTTATGGACTGAACTTGATAAACCGGGTTGATCAATGGATAACCTCCATAAGATCGAAAATGAGAATCACTCTCAAAAAAGTTCCAAAAATAATGAATCAAAGTCTTATTTCTTCAAAAAGAGATTACACTTATTTATAGGAATAGAAAACTTGTAAAGAAAGCTAATTATTAAATGATCTCGAAAATATAAGAAGACTAAAACTAAATCAAAGGAAATAAATAGAGTTGAAAAACTCTTGGCCTTCTTGACTTTTTATTCATGACTCTTCACTTCATTTTCGTCACCTCCTTTGACCAGAAAAATAAAGTGCTTATTTTGAGCTCTTCTTGGACTTCTATCATTCTTAAAATGGGTTGGACTCTATAGGTAACATCTTGAATGGATTTCTTCATGCTTCTCTTGTCAAAATCTTCATAAATTTGCTCATTAAGTGCTTCTTTGAACTTCTTAGCATTTAGCCCTTTCCATGATCATATCACAACTCCTCTGTATAGGTGGCACTCCTTGCAACACTGTATCCTACTACCTTCCTTAACGCCTCCATCTTCTCCCATAAATTTCCTCACTGTACACCTGCAAATGCCAGTGTTCCTCTTAGCTACATCTAAAGCATACATATTTGAAAGTAGATTCACTGACTTCAAAATCATATTTTAGAATCAAACTCAATGCAGAACGGTTTATCCACTAAACTCTGTGATGAAGAAGAAAAAAAGTCATTCGGATCCCCACCAGAATTTCAGAGGTAGGGAAAGATATTTAAGTTAAAAAATGTTACTAAAATCGGGCATCATAACAGAATAAAGACATCCCGAACCAAAGCATTCTAAGCCACCACATATAACTAATGGCACAAAGAAAAATTTAGCAATGAACGTACGCATAAGAACCCAAAACATGACATTTTAGATTGATGAGTAAAACCGGTTACCTGCACGCCCGGTTTTTTTCTTTTTCTTAGTTGTGTTTTTTTGTTTCTCTTCCCCGGTTCCACGTGCCGCACTAACATCTTGGTTCATTGGCTGGTCAAGAGATCAGAGAATGGTTTTAAAATAATCTCAATCAGTTAAACTAAAACTGCTAACACGAGTCTATGGAATTCATTTTTCGGTTCCACAATTATGACTTCACCCTAATTATGTATACCGAACTGTATAAACCCAGCATTGCCTTTATAAAAGACTTACGGACTCAACCCAGCATCGCCCTTTTAAAGGACTTTCGGACTCAGCTGGACCCAACCAAAGAAGTTCAAATCAAGCATCACAAGATCATGCATAGGACTCAACGTTTACACAAATCAAGGTGAGGATGTCCAGCCTGGTAAGCTAGTGATCTATCAAATCAAACACATTAATTGGTCCATGTGAGATAATGAGTTAATCATGGCTACATATCTCTCTCAGGTGAGACAAATTTTGAAACGTGCAGTAATAGTTAATTATGGTTTGAAGCTAATACTAATCACTAGTGAACCAGCCTCTATCAACCCAAATAAATCCTCACGAGTCCATGCATGGGTGTCTTATACAAAAATCTATCCAGGAGTTTTCTTTTTGTTTTTAATTCAACTGAGAGTCATTGGAATACGTACCAACCGAGGTGGTGTGGGAACTGTAACAGAGATGAACACAATTTATAGAACCTTTTGGATAGTGACAACATCTTTTTAAATTATGACTCGTCATAACCTTTATCGCTAAAGAGGATTCACCCACAAAGATCCACAAGACCACCCACAGAAAGAAAGAATACCATTAAAAGAACACTCACCAACATAATTATATTAGTATAGGCAGAGTATTCACCCGTGAAACAAAACCAGTAGCAAAAATGTGTGGCAAGACAACACTCAATTACTCCCTAGAATGCATGCAAATAAGAAACTGAGCATGGATTTATCCGGTACTCAACTAGAAGTAGGGGATGTTCGAATATGTTATATCATTCAGGTATTAACTCATAAGATGATAGGACTAAGTCTTAACCTCATTGGAAGATGTTTCTTCATCCTTTCCCATAAATGCTTCAGTTACCCCAAGTTCCCCTGCAAAGTGTATGAATCTCGGTGAGCGATTTCACTAGATATAAGATTTAAATAATTATCACAAACAACCTTCACGTCCAGTCTCAGGCGCCTCCTGCTTTCCAGGCTGATCTTGAACATTCACTGATCTGGCATTTCCAGAATTTTCGCCATCTTGTAATTCTTTCTCAGAAGTTCCTCTCTCAGTTTTACCCTCTTCCCTAATTCTCTCTAACAAGCTCGTTGACTCTTTTGACATCTCCTCATCTTCCTCGATTGGAATCAGAATTGGTTCAGCCTCATAAACTTCAGCAGTGCCTGCACCACGACCAAGCTTGCTGTCCTCAGATGTAAATTCATCCTTCTCACTTCTACCGGGTTCTTCATTAGCTGGAAGCAGGCTACTCATGACCTTCTGAGTACAAGCATAGTTTACCAAGAAGAGACAAAAAGGAACAGAGAAGATAAAGGCGATGTAGAGGCGACAACAAGTGGAGGAAAAAGGAGTGGAGCTGAAGAAAGTACAACACCAGCTGTTAGAACCTTCTTCCCAACACTTACTGCTTTACTCCAAATCCAACTTATCTTGCCTTCACTCTGATTTGAGTCATATTTCTCCATTGTTTGAATCATGATGCTACCTTCGATTCTGCAAGAATACAGTCAAAAGGGTAAATTTTCATAGACAAAAGAGAGTAATTTTTCATAGACAAAAGAATCGAATAAAGAGAAAATCTAACATCTTACAAGAAAAACATCATTTTACAACGGCCGAAATGGTCGTTATTTCGTCGTAATAGGGCTATTACGACGAACTAGACGATTTCGAAATCGTCGTAAAGTCATCGTCATAATAGACAAATCGTCGTAAAATCTTCGTATAATATACGACGGTTTCGTTTCGTCGTAACATCGAGGGAAACAGAATCGTCGTAAATGCGTCGTATAGTTTACGACGATTGTACATCGAATTGCGTCGACTTAGTCTTCGCCTGGACCGTCGTTAAGTGGTCATTAATGGTCGACATAAAATCGTCGTAAAATGTACGACGCACAAATCGTCGTAAATCAATCGTAAAGTATTTAATCATTTCGTCGTAAAATCGTCGTAAATCACGGACGTATAATCGTCGTATTTGTCGTCATACATTTTAGTCGTAAATCCGTCGTAATATTTACGACGAATGTACAACGGTTTTAATAAAGATATTACGACGATTATACGACGTTTAATATGATTGAAAATTAAAAAAAAAAATTAATTCGAATTAAAATTTAAATTAAAAAAAAATAATTTACAATTTAAAATTTATTAAAATTTGAAATTAAAATTAATTGTAATTTACAAAAAAAAACCCTACAGATCTAAATCTAAATCTAAATCGATCCCGTCGATCCCGTCACCGGCCTCCTCTCCTTGTCCTGGACGTGTTCCTTGCCGGGTCTTCGGTTTAATGCTTCCGCCGGCGCCTGATCTCCGGCTCTAGGAGGCTCAACCCCGAGAGATCGGAACATCTCCTCGTCCGTCTGCACCGGCGGTTGCGTTCTAGTGGATGACCCGGCGGCAGACGATCCGACAACCCCATCAGCCTGCAGCTTGTCCAACTGCGCCATGAGCTCCGGGTTGTCGGCTCCCATGATCTCGAAGAGACCGTAGAGCTGGTCGATCCTCGTCTCGTAACGGGTCCGCATCTGATCGATCTCCTGGCGGATAACCGGATCCGGGACCCGGACGTGACCAGTCGCCGTAGCTCTCGGGGTATCACGGATGGACCCCATCCCTAATACCCGCCCCTTTTTCCTTGGGGCAACCTACAAATATTTAAAAATATTATGGTTAGAAATTTAATTTAAAACTAAAGTTACATTAATTAAATATAGTAATTAAATTTACCTCTTCGAAGATCTGGTCCATCTCCGCCACCGTCAGCGCCGGGGTCGATTGGACCAAGCTACCTCCGGGAGACGTTTGACGCGCCTGCTGAGTCAGCTGCGTCTGTCGCTCCTCGATCGCCGCACAGGCGGCGTTGTAGATCTCCTCCGCCCGAGGATCCGTGAATTCGCTGTTCCGCTTTTTATGCGTCTCGGCGAAAACCTTCGTCATCGGAGGAAGTTCTCCTCCATTATCTTCGACCTACAAAATCAAAATGAAAAAATTAATTAGTATCGCGAAATAAGAGTTAATTATTTGAAAACAAAAAAAATAGTAATTTTAATTTACTTACCATCATAAGCCGTCTTCCGGCAAAAGGAATCTGGCCGGAAGTGTGCGGAACGTTCTTCCGATTTCCCGCATCGTCAGTAGCGTTCCTGAAAAATATTTCATTAGAATCTATTATAAGAAAACAAATAATGTAAATATTATTGGAATTAACGGAATCTCTTAGCCCGAGGAGCCATATCGAATGAATCTACAAAATTTTAAAAAATTTGTTACTAATTTTTCAAATATTTATTTAAATTTACAAAATCCGGGCCTATCTAAATTCCGAAACCTAAATCTAAATTCCAACCTAAATCTAAATTCCGAACCTAAATCTAAAATAATATGTAATGAAATTAATTTAAAAAAAAACTTACAACTTTTGGCTGGGAGAGTATGGAGAGAGGGAGTGGTTTAGGGATTAGAGAGAGAAAGTATTGTAGAGAGAGAGGGGAGAAGAGAGGAATGAGCGACGAAAGGGGGAAAACTCGCGTCCCTTATATAGATTTTGTGATCGTCGTAAAATCGTCGTAACTTTACGACGGTTTTACGACTATTCGGTTGTATAACAGTCGGTCCACTGCATGACATGACACGTGTCGTGATGGGAGCATTTGACCGTTACGACGGTTTTACGACGATTAAACCTAAAACCGTCGTAAAATCGTCGTAAGGTCTAAACATTTATAACCTCGTACCTCAGATCAAGAGCTTATCCGGTGCAAACGTTACGACGGTTTTACGACGGTTTTGGGTTTAATCGTCGTAAATTTACGATTATATTACGACGATTTTACGATGTTTTTAAAAAAAAGTGAGTAAACCCTAAATCTTATAAATGGGATATTGCATAAAGAACAATGCAAAGGCTATTGTATCCTAAAATATAACAAAAGGTTTACAACTTTGCATGTATGATGGATTTATGACATGAGATAGTAAAAATTGAAATTCCGTAATCTAATATATATATAACCTTTCACTTAACATTTACGAAAACATGCATGAACTTGTAAATATGTATGTTTTTTTCAAATTTTTGATTTTGATCAGATTGATAGCATTTCATATAAAATAAGATAACCAATCAAAAACATTTGTGAAATACCTTACAACCAACAATATATAAAAGATTCAAATTCTTCGATTTCAACATTACGACGATTTTACGACGAAACAGTGTACTCGTCGTAAAACCATCGTAACTTTACGACGATATTACGATGGTTCGTCGTAAAGACGTCGTAATGTTGAAACCCTATTCATTCAGGGCTTAAAACCTAGAATTAGGGTTTAGGGTTTAGAAAAACCGTCGTAAAACCGTCGTAAAATTGAATTTTAGGGTTTTTAAAAAATTCAAACAAACAAGGTTACAAATTACATAATAACAAACATTAACTGAATACAATGCATGAAACTCAATCAGATTCATCTTCCTCTATTACTTCATCACCATCACCGTCTTCTTCCGCCAAATCGTCATCATCGGTTTCAGCAAACTCATCATCACCTTCTTCTTCTGTATAATCGGGAAGATCTTCAACTTGCCTGTTCCGAGGGTCTATTAAGAAAATCTCCTCATCAACATCTGGTTCAGACAGATCTACGCAAGTGTGCTGTTGAAGTGGAACATCCTCAACCCCTACAATCTTGCCCCTCGGAGCCACTTTAACTACAGCTAACCATGAAATTCCTGTTGATCGAACTCGAGGGTATGGCAGAAACGTTACCTGTTCTGCTTGAGAAGCTAATATAAATGGCTCAACCTGTTGTACCGTCGTGATTTGTTCACGTCAACAACTCTAAACTTGTTTAGACGTACCCCTCGTCCAACAGTTGGATCAAACCAATCACATTTGAAGAGAACAGTTTTCAGCCTTAACAATCCAAGATACTCTACTTCAATTATTTCTTGCACAACTCCATATAAATCGATTTCACCCCTCACACAAACTCCATAGTTAGTTGTCGCCCGCTTTGCACCGTGACGGTATGTGAGAAAAACATAGCCCCGAGTGAAATACATTGAGGCTGTAGTTATTTTTGCCATCAGACCTAGTAGTAACTCATGGAACCATATTGGAAATTCATCCGGATCATTCGGGTCTACCTAATAAGAAAAAAATTCCGCTTTTATTTCTTGATTTCGATATATAGCAAATTAAAGTAGTCTTTTAATTAAAATTTTATACGTACTTGCCCTTTTAACCACTGGGCATAGTGTTGATCTTTACGATCATTGATTTCAGTTTCAGAAATCCCAGATATGCATTCTTTAACCTCATCAACAAATGTGCTGAGAAAAACAACAAATAGTTATTAATACTGACAACTCATATAAAGATATTATTAATAATTAAAAAGGTACCTTTCATACGATGACAACTCTTCACAATTTAACAAGATATACATATTTGCACTGTGATAATATTTTTCATTGGACCACCAAACATCTTTTAGTTTTCCACTAAGACGTCCGATCGGCGAGAATATGTCAGGTACACCTTCAACGGCATATGTATGGCCAACTCCTCCATCATCATATCGACGAGTAGCTCTTTTGCGTGTTCGTACTTTCGGTGCAAAATAGTATGAAGTAAAGTGTGAAGTCTCTTGCGTCAAGCTTCCCGCCACAATTGAGCCTTCCACTTTAACTAGGTTTTTGGCTTTACCTTTAAGATGCTTCATGAAACGCTCAAACGGATACATCCACCTGTACTGAACGGGTCCACCGAGCTCTGCTTCATGTGGGAGATGAACAGGAAGATGTTCCATAACATCAAAAATGATAGTGGGAAGATATTTTCCAAATTGCACAACAAGATTGGAATATTCAATGCCAGTTGTGATATTACATCAACTGATAATGTTCGTGTACTAAGATTCCGAAAAAAGCACCAATGCCTCCAATAGCTTCATGGACGTTTTTGGGCAAGAGTTCAGCAAATGCAAATAGAAATAATCGTTGCATAAACACATGGCAGTCATGGCTTTTCATCCCAGCAAACTTTACCCCCTTCTCAACAGATTTGGAAAGATTAGAGACATACCCATCAGGAAATTTAACGTCAGAAGAAACCCATCTGAACAATGCTGACTTTTGATCTGCACTCAACCGAAATACAGGAACTGGTGCTTTCCCGTTTCTCAGTAGATGCAACTCACTTCTGTTTCATAAATCAGGCAAGTCCAATCTTGACTTACCATTGTCTTTTGTTCTTCCCGCTACGTTCATAACTGTATGCATGATGTTATCAAAAAAGTTTTTTTCAATGTGCATGACATCAAGATTGTGTCTGAGCAGATGATCTTTCCAATAAGGTAGTTGCCAAAAGATACTTTTCTTGTGCCAATTATGATGAACTCCATAACCTTCAGGCATATTTGCAGGAGTGTGCCAGTTTCCCCCACGCGTTACTGTTTTCTCTGC